AGGCTGACCTTACCATGGTTCTTAAGTGAACCATGGTCAAGGTTAGCTTCTCCTACAAGTTTTAGAAACCATGGATGGTTAGCTACACCTTAGCATGGTTCCTAGTGAACCATGGTTAAGGTTAGCTTACACTAGAAGCTACCTCTCCCTATATATTTGTATTTTCTTCACTTGTAATCAATTTTGAACATTTGAGAAATAAAACTTCAGATTTCTCTCTCAAGAGTCCCTCTCAAAACTGAAGAAAATTTTCTCTCTAAGGTTCTCACCAAAGGTTTTCAACCTTTGCCTTGGTTCCTCAAGCTTCTACAACAAGCTAAGGAGTAACCGAATGTCTTCAAGGCTTCTACTCCATTGAAGATCACTTAGTGGAGATTCAAGTGTCTTTGAAGGTTTACCTCAAGAGTTTCTTCGGTCCTTTGCATGGAAACTTGGAAGAACAACAATCTTCTCAAAGAGCTTGCATAGATTTATATATATATATATATATATATATATATATATTTGTATAAAACTTAATAATTAAATTTCTCTTTTCAATAATTACACAAACACATGTAGAGAAAAAATCATCTAACACTTTCATTTAATATTATCATTCTAGTCATATATAATAAATAAACTTAAATATAATTATTATTTATGTAGTTTAGCACCATTTTTCTTTTAATCTTTGCTAATTTTTTTGTGCTATTGTCTTAAAAAAAATTAACTCAAACATTTTTACTTTGTGCTATTGTTTTCTGTAACGCAATTGGTAAATTAGAATAGGGCGTTCCAAAATTGGAACGGGACGTTCCAAACTACTAAAACAAGGGTGATTTAGTAGCCTAGAACGGGTTGTTCCCAAACTAGAACGGGTCGTTCCCATACTGGAATGGGCCGTTCCAGACTACTAAATAGGCCTGTAAATCCTAGTTAAGAACGGACCGTTCTAGACGTGCCAGAACGGGCCGTTCTAGTTTCAGAATGGGCCGTTCTGGTTTTAGAACGGACCGTTCTGGTTTTAGAACGGACCGTTCTGCATGTGAATTTTATACATGATGAAGGAGCTTAGAACGGGCCGTTCTAGATTCGAAACGGGCCGTTCTGGTCACTCCTGACCTCTATAAATAGGCGTTGAGGAGGGGGAGAAATGCGAACTTAGAGAGAGGTTTTAGAAAGAAGTTTTAGGGAGAAGGACTCTGGGCCAGGAAGCTTGCTTTTAGAAGATTGAGGTTCCCAGGTTAAGCTTCGAAAGGAAATTCTTCTTCTTCTCAGCTCTTGGCAATGCTGAGCCAATCTTCAGGTTAGGGAAGTTTCATGCATTGTTTTCCTTGAAAATGGTTAAGTTGTTGAGTGCGGATTGAGTTAAAAAGTTGGGTTGTTGTTTGAAAGAAAAGAGATGATTGATTTAAATTAGTGGTTGCATGTAGTTGTTCTTGTGTTTTAGAAGTTGTTTATAATGTGGTTAAGTTGCTAAGTTGCTTGATGAAGATGAGTTGAGTAGTTGTTGGCTTAAGTTGTTCATATGTTGTATGTTGATAATATGTGATATGTTGTTAAAGTTGCTATACATTGTGTATTTGGTGAAACTAAGTTGTTTTTATGTTGTTTATTGTTGAATTATTAATAAGTTGAGATGTATAAGTTGAAGTAGTTTATTGTTGAAAAAGTTGTTTAAAGTTGTTAAGTTGCATTAAGTTGATTTAAAGTATCAAGATGACTATTGTTGTCAAGTTTAATGAAGGGTGTCTCTAGTTGTGAAGTCGTAAAGTTGATATTGTGATGACTATAGTTGCTCAAGTTGTTTATTAAAGTTGTATAAGTTGCTTATTGTTGTAAAGTTGTATAAGTTGCCTATTGTTGTAAAGTTGTATAAGTTGCCTATTGTTGTAAAGTTGTATAAGTTGCCTATTGTTGTAAAGTTGTATAAGTTGTCTATTATTGTAAAATTGTATAAGTTGCCTATTGTTGTAAAGTTATATAAATTGTCTATTGTTGTAAAGTTATAAAAGTTGCCTATTGTTGTAAAGTTGTAAAGTTGCCTATTGTTGTAAAGTTGAAAAGTTGGGGACATAAGATATATGTCCTATATTGAGATACATAGTACTAAGGTGATAAGTTGAAAGTTATTTTAAAGTTGAATCCCTTAGTACTGTGTGGGCGACATGGAAATAGTCGATCTATATCATGGTTGAATGACCAAATTGAGTAAGGTATCTAGTTAGAGATGTAGTCTTTGACTAGGTACTGGAGGGTGCGTGGTACTTGGAGGGTAGTGGGTGGACTAACCCCATATGTGGATTGGTTATGCAGACTAAGGCTGTGGTAGGTTCATACTCAAACCCTTCTACCCTAACAGTAGTACTAGACCTCCGAGTCTAAGTGGCACACCTAAGCAATCACCTATTGTTGTCTATACCTGGTTCTCTTCGGAGTTCCTAACAATGTCCTATACCTAACCTGGTTGAGATATGATGCAAGCTCTTGGAGAAGATTGTTGTTCTTCCAAGTTTCCATGCAAAGGACCGAAGAAACTCTTGAGGTAAACCTTCAAAGACACTTG